GTCTCGGGGTGGCTCAGTAAGCAGTGACTTAGCTGCCGGGGACCTGCGTGGCTGCTTTGCCATCAGAGGCATTCCACAGGGACGGCAGCATCGGCTGCTACTGAACTGGTGCCAAATCAGCCACAGACCATCATCTTTGATGTCAGAATCTGCAAGATCATTGAAACAAGGTTGGGTTGGACTGCATCTGGCCCTCAAGTGAACTTGGCTTTGATGTGGTCTCTTTTCTTTAAAGGGATAGTGAATTGGATTTTTGTTCAGATGTCAGAACTGTCCTTTTCGTTATTTTCCTGCTGGTGATTGTTGGTCCATCAGGACTACATCTACTGTAAAACATGCATTGCTCTCTTGGGCTTCTGGCACCAATCTCTGACAAGTAGAGATTTTAAGAATGTCCTGAATTTGATGACCTCACTAGTGTTTCTGACTTTGCCCCTTTCATGCTTCTCACCAGGAGCCCGGTACCAGAGCTTAGGCAGTCCCTTCTTAAATAAAAAACCCACCCAAGGACAGGCAGCACTTGCCACTTATACTGGTTGCTGTGGTACTGCTCCAGTAGGAGCACGATGACTTACCGATAGTTCTTATCTACCTGGTCAAGTTTTTGGATTCATCTCAAAGCAGCAATGTAACCCCTCCAGTCCATGACTCCAGGAGAAAGGACTCAGGACACCCTGGAGGCCTCGTGCTTATTGGGCTTTTCTTCCCCCTCATCTACAGGTCTAGCAGTATGAAGTACATAGTTGCCCAGCATATACATGCTATATACTCTCCCTTCTTAGCATTGAATAGGCAATGCCCAACAGAGCCAGAAGAAAGGTGGTAGCCAATTCTAGAGCTTATCTAGATGCCTTCTGTTCAACTAGTCTTCCAAGCCTCTTCACCTTACAGCATCAACCATTCATCAGCTACCCCTGGAACACTGGGCATTTTTTCCAGCCCTGAAGGCTGAGGCACTGTGGAGCAGGTGGGGGTTAGCAGTGCCCCTGGCTGTGCCAGATGATGGTTCACCTTGCCCTGCAGTTAGTTCTCAGCCTGCTCATTTACCCGTCATCTTTCAGGATTCCAGTTTTCCCCACTGGAAAACAAAACACACCTATTTAATCCCCAGGATTTGAGCAGACGGAACAACACCACACAAATGGCATAATCCTACGCCAACACCATCTTCCTGCTGCTTGTTCCAAAGCTTGTCTCAGCCGGAGGCTGCACCTGGCTAGCAAGGGGCTAAAAGTCACGAGGGAGCCACAATGCATCCCTTGTCTGCCGCAACCTGTACTACTGCAAACCTCATCTTCAAGTGACAGTATGGGAAGGGTCAAGTTCCTCCTTGCTGCCTGGGAAATAAAACACCAGGAGTTCAGCTGTGTGTTTACTAACTCCTCCATGGACAATAAGCAAAATGCCTGGAAAAAACACTGAGTTGGTTGTACAGAAAATACAAAACAAAAATGACAACAGCCACCAACGGCATCATCACCTCACTGCAGGCATGCTGTAGGTAAAGAACCCAACCCATCCCATCTCTGCAGAGCTCTTGCCAAGTTATTTCAAAATGAGCTGGGGCCATTAGAGCAACAGCTTGCTGCTCCTCCTCCTGCAATTTCACAGTAATTACTTTTTGAAGCATGAAAGCCTGGACAGTGTTACAGCTGCATCAGTGTCTCTTGAAAGCAAAAAATTAACTTGAGAAACATTTTAAAATGTTTGTTGTAATAAATTTTAGTGCCCAGGTGCAACTGAAATTGTTCCTGTTATGTGATGTTAATAGAACTACTCCATTCTTCTTCGAGACTCACGTTCACACAAGCAGTATACAACTATAAACATTATTAAAGTTTATTAACAAAAGCTTTGTACATATCTTTTCATACGCTTGGAATTTTACATCTAGTCAAAATAACAGCACATTTCCATCTTACCTTTTGTACAAATTGTTACAGAATATCCACCAGTGGGCTGAGTAAGTAAAATAAACCCCTGGTTTACTTTTGTAAAGTATCTACAAAAGTGATTTGTGGCATTTTTAAAAAATTCCCCAGAACATATAAAAATAAATTATTTTCACTTTTTCAATTAAATCTACTAATTAGAAATATTACAAATCAAAATATCAATGTTTTCTTATGAATTCTTTACAAAACAGATTCACAAAACTTTATTTACAGAAATGAGGTAAGAACTGTGCAATGTTTAACTAAGAAACATATTGCAGAATTAACATGTTCTTCCAAATAAGTACACAGTGGAGGTCTAATTACAGCTGGGTCTTTTCTTCTAATAATTCCCACCTTAATATTGATTAGTGGTCATTACCCCTGTTTAAACTATCCTTCACCATACTGCATAGACTCATGCCATGAAATCAGCTACTGTTGGAAGTGTTGTAACACAAGTTCACCCGTTTCAACCACTGGTAAATTTTAGTGGGAAATACTCACTTTTTTGGTAATTTATTAGTGAAAAGTGACCCAGGTAACAATCTGCCTGAGCTATCTACAGTGGTATAAACACCTCTAGTAAAGGCAGAACAACAAGGCTGCTGGTGCAACACAGAATATTCCCGCTGCTAACACGGACGCGGCTAGTGCATGATCAGCTGTTCGCAGCCACTTCAGCAAAATGGAGGTAGCAACAGGCACTTGGTTTAGGCCAAACACTACACGTACTTCTTCCAGTGCGGCCTTCTCATCTGGTAAGAAAACTTTGTCACTGGAACCAAAGCGGTTCCTTTAAAAACCTCAGAACTCTTAAAACCTACACCAAAATTAATAAACTTTGGATTCCATACTGTAATTCTTACTCAGGAAAAACCCCAACTATATAACAAACAGGAATTTAAAGGAATAAAAAGTTCAGAAGTGGATTCCCTTATGAGTCAGGTTTCAAAATAGGTGTGTAAAAAAGAAACGACAAACAGCAAGTCCAGGCTGCCATCACAAGCTTAGTCTAAAAGCATATATTGCGACTGCAGCAGCAGATCAGACTGGCTAGGGTTGGGCTTGGTTTGGTTTTTAAAACTACTGCTCTGAAACCACAGTAATGCATGACTGCAGGCAGTTTACTAGCCTTTAAAGTTCTAAGATTAGGACCGAAGAGTCGAGTATATGTTCTTCTAGAACTTGTACTTAGTATCATCCTATTGACAAAGTAATTACGGTTTGCAGAGTTTTATCTACTTCACAGTCTGAGGCATTAAAAAGTACATCTATTTTAGTGCAACAAGAAAGCAAATGAAAGCCTAACAAAAATATCCTATGAAAATTATGAACTTTTTGCTGTGCATTAAGAGTTCCTTGTTGCATTTCTTCAATCTGCAGAAAGGAAAATAGTTTGCAGCCAGATGAAGTGCTATAACAGCAGGACATGCAGTTCCCAAGTATCATTCAAATGTCAACTCTTCTCTGACGCAACTGGTCCAGTTTTATCACTGAGTCTCTGTGTAAGAGAAAATACTTCTAAAAATCAGATTATAAAATACAGAGTTAAGTAATTAAATTCATACAAATGACAAAGCAGATGAGGTACATTCAGTAGAGCTATTTATATAGTAACTTTTCCATCATAGACGATAATCATGTCTTGTAGAATAAAAAGCAGGGAAGGAAAGAATAATTAAAGGAGTAGTACTACCTTGGAGCAACTCACACCAAGGTGTGAGCTAGCATTAGAAAACACCAATTTTGCTTCTACTTTCCTTCCAACAAGACTGGCTGTTCCTGGCTGTTGGTCTCTCCTTAGAACCGCATGATGGTCAAGACAAATACCAGGTGACCTCTGCTACGTTTTACCTGCTGGAGAGGGCCGAAATCTACACTTCTCTATCAGAATAGACACACAATTTCCATTTTGCCCCTGTTACAATTACCTTTCTTTCATAAACTGCTACAAAGACATTTTCCTGCAAGTATTGAACAGGACTGAGCCCAAACCTCAGCTTGAAAACCTGTTCCAGCTGGAAATGAGATTAAAACAGTCAAACAAATATAGAATTTGTTAAAAATTCTTTTTGGATTAAAATAGTTCAGCAATCCAATGCAATCTGTCTCAATTCTACCCCCTCCCCCTTTTTTTTTTAAGGCAATTTTAAAAGAAATTTGTATCTAAGGGCTTTGTTTAAAAGATGTTCTGAGATTTCCTGGAATTGTTTACAGCTAACTGTTATAAGAACAAAAACTAAAATTGTAACAGCATATTTGTAAAACATACTAGTGCTGCCCAGTCACACTGTCCAAACCTAGTAATAGCCATTTAAAAAATTCAAAATGAGGTCACCCATAGAATAGTTTGTACTGATGCAAACCAAATATAGCATTTCAATTCCATTCACTACTAATGTTGAGAAAATGAAGGGAGATAAATTTTCAACATACTAGAACAAATTGTGAACATTTCTAAATGAAGGCAAGGCATTGAGCAAACCCCTGTGATAGAACGCTTCTGCTCCAGCAGCCAGTGACTGGGAAAGAACGTGATCTCACTGGAGTCCTGCAGTTTGCAGTACGGTTGCAACATCACAACAACGGACCAAACTGGAACATGACGACCACGCACAAACCTTAATAAAAGTAAAGGCTTATATTTTTGAATGGAAGGGAGCTGTTTCCAGAAAAATAGTCTTGAAAATTCATTATTTATGTTTTGTGTCTCACCTTGTATTTGGGAAGTACCAGAAAGGCCCAGCTGCCCAGGTCCTTCTCCTCCACCGCCATGCCCCTAAAGTAGTTGGAGGCTTTGCGGGATGGGGAGCGGAGAGGGGACCAATATTTAGCCCCAAACTCTTCCCGCCTGCTGCTGCAGACAAGCTTCCCTTTTCTCACTACCACTTGATGTCTTCTCCAAGAAATACTGCAACTTTGTCTTCCTGCTCTACTTATCCTTTGTTTGCACAAGTTCCACACACTCCTTCCCTTCACCCCCCCTTATCTTAACTGTATGACCCTTAGAGAATGAAGTCTAGTCTATGACTCCTTGAAAAAAGAATTCCTGTCTTGGGGATGGAGATTACAGGCAAATGCTGAAGACAATGGAACATCTTTGCCAGAAAGATGCACCTTGTTTCCTGATCTGTCTAGGAAAGCTTTTATTACTCTATCAAGCAAAGGAGTCACTCAGCCTCCCAGTGTACATCCTCATCTTCCCACGCCAAAACCAAGATACACATAGCCCGCTCTCCTAGTACATACTTCACCTTCCCAGCAACAGGCCTCAGCTCTCTGCAGCTGTACAGTGCCTGAGGCCTGGCCAGCACAAACTCTTCAAGTAAGGTGATAAAAGGAATAATCTGCAAAATAGTGGACACAAAGCTGGGGAAGAAGGTGGAGTGAGGAGGACAAGGGCTGCAGGTGTAATTACAAGAGGAAGGCAAGGGTCATTGGTTTGGTGTCCTGATCCAGGGAAGCAGGAGTGTGCAGCAGACAGGTTAGGTGCAACTGATTACAAGTTCAGAGAGTTCTGAACCTCACTAAGTGCAGTCCAAGGCTCAAGAAAAATAAAATAAATAAAAAGTCCGCTATCTTTGAGTTGTGAATACAGGCATGTAACTTGCTTCTCATCTTTTAGTTACCTTGTGGAGGTACTACATTGAAAACGAGGTGAGAAATATACTTACTGTCACCTTCTGAGCTGCATTATCGCCATGAATTGTAAGGAATGGGTTGGTAGTAGCTGCATTAAGTGGTGAGGCCTGTGTGCCTGAAAGTAAGTTGTTTATAGGTATCTGTGCTCCTCCAGTAATCTGCAATTGCTGTACTTCAGATTGATGGTGTTGGTGGTGGTGATGTTGTTGCTGTACTAATTGATACAAAAGGGCCTGATGTTGTTCCTTGGGTAATTCAAGGAGAGGGAGGCAAAAATAAAAATAAAAAAATCACAAGTTAGTTACTGAGAAATAGCTCCTCCCTGGGTTCTTGCTTATCCAAATCTTCAGTCAGTGCAACCCTTAACCTAATCCCAGCTAATTTAGGTTACACTAATAAAGTTCCACAAGACTGTGGGAAAGGGAAGAAAGTGCCTATAAAATTTCCTGAAATCAGCAGCTCAGCAGAGGCTCAGCTAAGCCTGCTGGCTTTGTCAGGCCTCTATCACAAGAAACATAACCAAGAATATCAAACCGTGTTTTTCAAAGTACTAAAACTACACAATTAACAATACAAATAGCTAAACCAGTTACCCAATGGCATACATAAATACTGCAAGGCAAATCAAGACAACTCACGAGACGATACCCAAAAATCTTTTGCTAGACTCCTAGTGGAATCAGAGAGTAGCTTAGGATATTGTTAGAATCCATACATGGTCCCAAGCTCTGCTGCATACAGCTGATGCTGAGAGAGACAAGCCACCATGTCCACACGGGACAAAAATGGGACTGAAGGCACTAGAGAATGATTCTTCTAGCAATACACCCAATAATAGGTGTATTGCTAGCCCAATAATCTCCTGTAATTTAGCATGACTATCATCCAAAAAGCCTGAAGCAACTGAAAAACTAAAAGACTATCAAAACCTGTAATACCAAGTTAAACACATTTCTAGTCTTTATATTAGGCTGAGGAGTTTATCCATGCATTAGAATACAACAGAAGAATAAATCATAATTAACTGTAAAACTTACTGATGTGAGTTGCTGGGTACTTAGTAACTGCTGAAACTGCTGGTGCTGTTGATGGAGTAGAAGTTGTCTCTGTTGGTCAGGAAGTAATCCTAGTCCCGAGGCACTGTAGGGTTTGACAGGGTAATACTGTAGTTTATATGAAAGTGTGGGAACGTTTTACTTCAGTTTTCCATTGAAACAGAAAACACGTACAGAAATAGACGATTCCTATTTATCATTTTGATTGAATCTGTCAAATAGTCTGTCTGTCTAGTTGCATTTTTTGATACATACCTAGACATTACCACCACCACCCCAGTCTCATTTATGCTAAGCAACAGCAACATCTTGCCTGTAATGTAAGTTTACTATGTGCTCATTAAGCTCAGATAATCACTACCATTTCTACATTTTCTCAAATACTTTACACAGAAAGGCCAGATTTTATATTATAAGACAGCTCTTGCCAATCTTTAATACTTAGTTAACTATCATTTACTTTGCTAATTTAATTTGGTTTCCTTCTAATTCTCATATTTTGTTATATTCAAATCTATCACTGTTGCCTACACCTCATCTGTAACTTAGCAAACGCATTCAGCCTTGAAGTGGGCCAACTGATGCTGCCATGGAACGATCCAGGCTGCCTCTGCACTTGCCTACTTGCTCCCAGTCCCTATTTTCATGCCTACATAACATTTGCTGCAGCTATTTAGGAAACTGGGCAGGGAACTGATCCAGCCGACAACTGATCTGGAAGTAAAGGGTTTCTTCAGCTGTGCCAGTTCACTGCAAGATCAACAGCATGAACAAGGGTGGGTTTGGAACAGAAGACCAGGAAGACAGCTGGATTTACTCTGTCGGTACCAGTGTTGGATTTTACAAACACCCACTGAATTATTAAAGTGTAGCTTAAGTATTTCCCTTTCAGCGCTTCATTTCTGTCCCCTCCCCTTGCACAAGCTCTTGCACGATCAGCTGCACCTCATGCAAATAGAGCTGAAACCTAAACCAATACCAAACATGCTGAAAGATTATCTCTTAATGTAGATGAGGTTATTGTGTGACCGCACAAACGCGAGTACCGCCAAGACGGTGTGCGTAGGATGACCACCAAGATGACAAGATTGCTAGTTGTGATTGGGAGTAAGGAATTAAGTTAATTTAAATCAGCCACAAATATGCAGTTAGGCTATGACCATTTAGCTCTTCAGAACACGATATTTATCTTGCCTTTCTACAGTAGCTAGCATACTATAGGCCAGCTCCATGATCACTTGGACATTTACTTTGTATTAACCAGCCAGTATGAAAATACACATAGCATCACCATTCTCTGCTGCTGGGACAAGGCAAGCAACACATAAACTTTGTTTCATACTTCATTGGATGGCCTTAATGCTATGGGAAACACGTGCTGGGCTGCACTTACATTTCCCATCATCTACTTCACAACATTCATTACTGTTGTTTCTACCACTCTCCTGGTTCTCAAACCTCTTGTCAAGGGTCTTCTTCCCTAGCCAAGAAATCAATTCTACTGACCTTGTCCTGTGCAAGCCATTTTGCCTTTTTCCTTGTATTATATCTTTTTCCAAAACTGCATAATCAGAACCACACAGAACATTCCAGGTGCACACACACCAGCTATTTAACATGACAGAACACAAAATGGATAACACCATTCTATTTATTCCCCAGTAACTACTATCAATGTTTGTTTGTTTGTTGATAAAAGAAGAGATGACACTTCACCTATCCTAGGAATCTCCTAGATTTTCCTCCTGACCTACAACAGCAAAACTCAGGCCTAACAAGCTAGAACTGTGCATATATTTGCCTTTCAAATGATGACACTGACCGATTAAATGAAATTCCTTCAAACAGCTTTAAAATCAATTTTATCAAAAATATTTGTAACAGCTGCAAAAAATAAGTACCTTCAGTTTGACTAGTATTACCATTATTTCCTCCTTCTCTTTTTACTTCACTTTTTCTGTATTCTTCTATACTGGAATCAATCTTCTCCACTGTTTTGTTTGGTTTTTTTTAATTCTTTCATCCCGTTCTTTTTTTTCACCCTATATCATGTTTTACCTTTGCACTTCTTTTTCTGCTGCTGTTCTCCCTTCTCTTTACCCACTCTGGCTTCCTCTGTTGCTCTATATTGGTACTCGAAAGAAAATACCCTCAGCCAGCAGCTGAGATCTAAGCATCTAGAAACAAAACCTAACTGCAGAAGACAAAACACTGCAGCTGCCGAGCTTCCCAAAAGAGGTAGTTCACTGGATTTCACCACAGAGCTTTCTCTAAACCAGATCAGCTTGGACTGTAAATTTAATCCTTTTTAGCTTCTCATTAAAAGGTATATGATCAGTCTGAAAGTCTCCATCCTACAGTCTTCTCTGGTTGTGAGAACGTAAAGAAACAATCCTATCTTTCTCCTCAAATCACTTAATCTCACAGTTGCTAGCAATCTGTTTAAGCCATCTTTTTCCCAGAAAAGGATCAAGTATTTTTCTCTGCCAAATGAATGTAGGCACTTTTACCTACAATTTGAAACTCTAACAGCAGAATGCAGATCAGTGTTTTCTCACCTCCCTATGTCCCACAGTTAAAGAGCTCACGTGAATAATGACAATATGCATAAAGAAGTCTTCATGTATTGGTGAATAATCCAGGGAAGTTACTGTAAGTTGCTGCTTAGAGGAACATCTGGGAAGTCTTTTAAAAAATACAAAAAAAAGTTAGAAAGTAGGGCTGAGTTTTCCTGTGACTTTCCATCACCTTGGGAATACTGCCAGCTCCAAACTTGACCACCATGCCGTCTAACCAGGTTTGGAGAGCTCGCAGTAACGGCATGGTAGCAAACTTCCATGCCTGCCCGTGCTTGTAACCATTTAACCTTCCCGCTTACGCAGTTCGAAGTAGCGATGCCTAGAGGACAATTTCTTTCATGTCAGATTCAACTAGTTGCCACTGAAACAGCAATGAACTCAAGAGTGGCAGGAACAAACGATGTCCCATATATTTTCAGAACCAATAATCCTTTTATATTTTTTCTTTTTTTTTTTTCTTCATTCAAAGTCATCCCAGAGCCTCTTCACAACTTAGTTCCAGTAACAGAAAAGTTTTTTTCGTATTTTTCACTGAAGCATTTGTAATGCAAGAAACAGGAATGAGGAATGTATGTGTCATTGCTAAAATCACATTAGCACTAATTAGCATTAGTGCTTGCTCAGCCTGAACTTTTTTCCTCTAAATATACAACTAGAAATACTGAAAACTCACAGAAAATGGGGGCAATTGTAAAACACCTCTGAAGGAAGGGACCCAGCAAATCTGGATGAGTTCAATAAAGCACAGAATTGTGTAAAAAGTACACTTCTAAATTTAAAATTAGTATTTTTAAATTAATGTTGATTTTAAATTTGTATTATTGAAGGAGCAGTGCAGAAAGAGATCATGCAAGAACAGAAATAGAGAAATGGAAATGCTGGCAGAGTTGTACATCATAAGCTTCTTGTAGCAGAAAATAGGGAATCACTGGAGTATTCCAGACGACGCTAAAAGTTAGGATGAGAGCTAATGAGCAGGATACTAGTTGCAGTATTCTGCGTGAACTGGAGTCATCTACTACTAGGCTACACACTCGAGAGCAGTGAAGATGGATATAAAAAAAACCCAAAGGAACTTCTGCAATATGAAGAGTCAGAAATAAATAATCTGTGCATTAACAAAATCATATGAGAAAACAGCAGCATGACCGGTATATCTGGCATTACCTGAAAGTGGAAAGCATTACACAACTAGTTAGTATTACTGATTTTGTCTAGTATTTCTCACTCCTCCTCACACTTTTGGGGAGAGTAACACAAAATTCTTGTGTTTTCAGCAGACCTCTGTTTAACATATGAAATGTTATGCTTGTATATGATACAAACTATGAAAAATATAACCTCCTCCATAAAAATATAATAGCACATCAAAACAACATGATACACTTGGAAGTATCAGGTTTTACGAGCCTGTTGAAGCAATACCACACAATGGTACTGTACATTCAGGATTCATACATGAGCATTCAGGAGCTGCCAAACTAACAGCGAGAAAAGAAACTGGAAAAAGAAACCACAAAACCAGGGATCCCTTGCATCATTCCAATCACATGTGCCTTTTTTGGTGGGTAATCCACCATAATCTCCAAAAATAAACTCTACTTGTCTTTCAGTAATCCACTCCCTATTTGCAGGCATTTCTTTCCACATTTAACTGTAGCTCTCCTTCCCAAGCGAAGGACAGTACAGGGGTGGGGAGAAGGGGAGCGGTGAGAATGAGTTAGCCCAGGCTCTGCTCTATCCCAAAACACTTCCAGACCAAGTACTCCATTCCCCTTCCTGGAAAGCAGCTGTCTCCTTTTGTTACCCATTTGCCTTGCAGCTCAAGGAGCAGCAGTTTATGCTGCTGAGGATGCCTGGTGTTTGGGGAAGGGCTGTTATGAACACTCAAACGTGGATCTTTTTATGCATTTAAAAATCCTGAGGAATACCACTTGAAAAAATAATTTTGTTGTCTTTGGAATCGCAGAAGCAGAGAACTGAAAACACCATGCAACTGTATCACTACTCTGCTTAGTTATGCCTATTACATCTTTAATTACATGACCCTATACTGTTCTTCTCCTCCTCCCCCCTTCCCCCTTCTTACTGCAACAAATGGTAGCTTTTCCAGTGCTGCTTTAATCATGGAAGAGCAATTGGCAGGAGAAAGAATATTGTTTTCTGAACAAAAAAAAAGTGCTGAACCACATTTATATAATTACATTTGTTTGGGAATGCGACTTGATTAAAAAAACTAATAAATGGACACTAGAATTCCCAAAAGCTAAACAGAACTCATCTTTTCTTTAACTTGACTATTAGTGCTTCCATTAAATGCCTCCTTACTTTCATTCATAGAGCAGGAGCAGAACCTGGTTTGACAATTACAGGCTAAGGAAGAAACAGTACCTTTTCAGTAAGACAGTTAAACACAGCTAAACTGAAGAACAGCAGGCACGGTCAGGAAAAACAAAAATCAGCAAATTCTTACCTGTTATTTAACGTGGTTGGCAGAGGATGCGTTGCATTGGTGGGCACAGTTGCATGAGTGAGAGGAGAAGGGTTCTGTGATATTGTTGCTGGGGTCTGAATTACCCCATTTAAAGCCCCTACAATTCCATTGATTGCCAGCTGGCTAGCTGGCAGTGCTCCAATTATTCCACCCACACCAGGCACTGCAGGAATGGTGGAGGTTACAGTCTGCATACCACTAGCTAGTGCCCCCACTGTCACACCATTGACCTGTTGAACTCCTGTGACTCCTGAGCCTTGCTGAGCTGGACTCTGCCCAGCAGGTGGTGGAGTGGAAAGAGCTGATGAACTGCTGGTGCTTTGTCCACTGGAGGTTATCTCCTGGTGTAAAAACAAACAACAAAACCCCCTCAGCTGCATAAAATTCCACCTAACAGCACAATGCAAGGACTATGATGAGTTAACTTGTAACCAAGTTTAAGTTTAGAAGAAACAAATAAAAATTACCTGATTTAATACAGGAAGAGAATTGTCTGGTAAAAAACTATTTCCCAGATGAGGGCTTTTACTGCTGTTCAAGGAATCGGTGCTAGGTGCTAAAGTAATTATTTCAAAACAAGACAGTAGTTAAATTTCTGTAACATGTAAAAATATTCAGAATAAATTATTTCAAAATAATGTCAAAAGGTAAACATACAAGATGTAAAGTCAACCTTAAAATCATTGCTGAATAATATTAACTAAATAACTGTGAATCAACAGATTCAAACAGATGTGCTCCAGACTGAAATAAAAAAGAAACTGCAATGAAACAAGTAGTAATGGTTCATATAAATCTTCCAATTGACGTTTAAACACACCAACAAATACTTAGTCTATAGTCATCCTACATGTATATGCATCTCCCATCAATGACATAGGTGGATAAAATAGATATTTCATATAAGTACATGGTCGAATTACTTTGACACTTTAATACTCTACTTACCTGCTTGTACTGGAAAGGCATGTACTTGATGAGAAGGGCTAGGATTTGAAGTTATTGTTGGAAAGGGCACCGAAAGCTGTGCATTGAGTAGCTGAAGCCGCTCCTTCTTAGCGGTCAGATTCTTTATCTGTTCTTCTAACCGCCTATTTTCAACCTGAAGCTGGTGTAATGATTTAAGCATTCCTAAAACTAAGGTAAAAATGCATATGTTATCTTTCACAACCACATTCAAAGAATTAATAACATCTTCATTTTTTTGCTAATAACATCTTCATTTTTTTTAAATGTCTGTATTACAATTTAAGACTAGCATTAAGTCATATGTGAAAACATAAAATTATTACGGAGAGATACATTATAGAAATTTGACTTTAAGTGGACAGGTTTAGGATCAATTTTGTGTAATTTGAAGTGCAGAAAAAAGTACATAGCATGTGATAGTAATTTTGAAATATACCTACACCCTGGCTTAAATACAGATAAAGTTGCATCATTAGGGCTGACATTCATTTTATGCAAACAGCAGCACATGAGATCTTATCCCCAAACCAGAATATAAAAATAATATTATTTTAGTAGCACAGATTTTTCCCAACTATGCAATTTACCTATTTCAGCTGCAGTATTAGAAAGTTTAAACATTATCAAAACAGAAAAAGTTTGACAAATATGCATTCCACTAACAATACAGCCAACCAACAACAATTATGTAAAATCAAGCAAGTTTGTGAAATGGGAGGTTTTCTGCTTTAATGCCCTATACAGTGAATACAAATTTACAGAAACAATGAAAAAAAATGTCATCCAACGTACAGTTATGACACACCTTGTGAACAGGAGCCCTCCTTTGCTTTGAGCGGCGATCTACAAATCACCCAGCAGGGAGCACTGTGTGAGCACCGCACTTACCACCCCTTTTTTTTTGCAGAAGGGCATCATCTTCTGTACTAACCTGATTTTTACCAAGCACAGTTTTCTCAACTGAGATTCGGTTTCAGAACTTGGATTTCCCAACTAGTACTACAGTGTGACTGTAAAGCCACAGGGATAGCCTTCCTCCCCTCCCCCCCCCCAAAACTGTATTTGTTTAACATGACCTCTGGGCCTACTACAGACATAAGTCTACTGGTATAGGCACATCTGGTCATTTCCCAAGGATTTAGCTTTTATCCCTCCTCTTCAAGAACATACAAAGGAACCCTCAGTGAGCCCAAATGAGATGCAATAAGACTTAGCTAAACCTGTCCTCCAGCTATCATGTTTAAAGGATTATCCCTGCATGAATTTCCTCACAATTAGCATTTTTGTCAGGATACCATTCATAAAAATACCAACTAGATACCCCTTTACACTACCAACGATAAGAATAATATGTTCGATAAAAATACAACAAAGAGCCTAACCTGGTTTTAAAAAAAATAATTTTTTTAGTATATTCAATCATTGTCTTTGATACATACATATTGTTGAATATGGAGATCCAAGTGATCTACTCATCACTTATGTTTTTAATGTATTCATTCTTGGACTATTCCACTTTATTAAACATAACATGAGAAAATAATTATTTGCTTGCTTTGAGAATTTCACAAGAAATGCAGAACATAATAAAGATACGAAAGCCCAGTAAGACACCTGCCTAACATTTGTAAACATGTCTTTAAAACAGCAACAGAAGTAGACAGTTTAGAATTAAAAAATTAAAAATATAACAATAAAAAAATATTATGCCAATTTGTATCACACAGTACGAAGCAAAACAGGGGACTGTGTTATACTATTTACAGTAGTGGATCTAAGAGTCCAGAATTCATTTCCAAACTCTGCAACTGACCAGCTGGATCTGCAAGTCACTTCCTCTTGCATGACACAACTTCCCCCTCCATAAAAATGTAGATAATTATAGAGAACTCTTTTGTAATCTACCGAAGCCATGTGCTGCATTAAGAACTATGTTACAATTATACACTTCAGTTATATTTCTATTCACAGCAGAACATAAGTTTTTTTAAAACTCTTAGACAAGCACTGAATGGCATTTCTGAATAACACAGTTAACAAAAGCAGTAATAAACAGAATGTGAGTACTTACTGTCACTAGGGGTGCCTTGCTCTAATAAAAACTGTTGTCCTTCACTCCATTGCCTCTCTAGAAGCTGTTCTATGCTGGCTGCTACTGGGGGCAAATTTTCCCCACAACTGTTCCCTGATTGATCATAGCGAATCTGCAAGCTGCTTACAGGGGATCTGTTGAAAATATTGCAATTTATTGATTAAAGAAAAGGATGGAAGGAAATAAACATATTAGTAAAAGGCTGTTCAAGTTTCTTACCTTGTATCAGTCCTTAGCACCTACATATCTTACATTTCCAAGACCAAGTTAATTCACCAAAATCACTAAGAACTCCTGGTTCTCACTGCGAAGTTTTTAATAAAAAAAAGATGTCCTATTTCACAGTGTAAGAATTTATACTGAGAAAGCATGTAACCCCATCTTGCATACAGACTAACATAATACCTAACTGACAAACGGCACTGTATTCAAGTATACAACACATACTTCTACAGCAGGAAACCATTGTATATGGATACACAGAGCATCTGTCTTCAAAAAAAAAAATTAAAAATATTCCAATCTTTCCCAGAGGAAACTGGGAAAATAAAAATCATGTATTAGAATCAGCACAGTAATGGTACTTTCACATAGAAAGGCCATATATATAATTCCACTGCCTAACTTGTTCTAAAAAGAATCATGTAAAACCAGATTTTTGAGGGACTATGTGAAAATATTATCTCACAAGGGATGCAATGAAAGTTAAAGTTACCCTCTGCCTGTCCTGTACACACTTAATATACTTCCTTTTTCACTCATGATCACACACGGTTCAAAGAATAATCCCTTTGCCACATGCCTTTTCTCATTCAGGAGAAAAATGAAATATTCCCAGCCACTACGAAAGCTGGGTACCCCTCAGGTCCTATGAGAAGGCTTCTTTTGCATTGGATGGGGCAAAATTTAACCTGTGAGCAAAACCAGATGCTCAGTGTATTTCTGACTTGGGATTCTGGCCTCATGGATGCATGGCCCCATTCCTCATACATGACCAACACCAAAGCCCACTACAAGTTGGTTGCTGTTTTTGTTTGTTTGTTTTGTTGTTGGGGGTTTTTTTAAATCAACTCCAGTGAGCCCAGATTCAGATTCTTATATATTAATTATTATTATAAGTAATAACTATTGGTGCCATCACAGGATCACAGCTGTCCTGCTCTACATATAGTGCAAACTTACCAACAAGACCATAGACCAGTACAGGACAAGATATAGGGCTCAGGAAATCAGTGTGTTAATTATGATTAGCGTAATAAGCAGTGGTCACAGCACATTAGCTACCTAATGACTGACAAGCATTTTGTAGGCACCAGAGCAAAGCGATTTTTATGAGAAAAGGGTTTAAGTAGGTGACTTAAGAGCTCTGTAAGTATTTATAAATAATTCTTCTTTTGCATACAGGATGAAAGAAGAAAAACACTTGTTAAAACAAAAAGCCCTGATGAATGGGTAACCAAGGTAGTGTTTTTTGACAAGAGATGACAACTCTACAGCATTTAACAGTTCAGCACAGACATGGCAAAAACAGCCTTAGAACTAGTTGTTTACACAATGTGCTGAAGTGGTAAGAAGGAAGGTTTATGTGGAAACATTCTGAACAGATGTATTGCACTCTGCAAAAACAACGCAGTTTAAAAAAAAACATACAAAAAACTAAAAAGACAACAACAAAATCCTGAAAACAAATACAGAAAACCACCACACAACCCCCCAGCAACTTCCTTCTCTGTGCATGCTTCTGAAAGGCGCATAACACTACTCTAACAGATTGCGCCATTTGAATTATAAATCACCAACAAAATTATTGTTGGGCTTAGGACTGTTTCCTATCAATTTCACAAAGGTAGAAAGCAAAGCAACCCATGACTGTATAACCCCTGCAATCCTTCACTGGAAGCCTGTACACAAGGAGAAGAAATAAAATCTAGATTTCTGTGTATCGCAACATTAGTCAATCACATCCTCTTCCAGCTGAACCCCTATCTCATCCATTAGACATGATACGGTTCCTGCATACTAGGGCTGAATCCTTATTCCAAATCGTGTTTGATCACAGTTTCCGATAGGATTATAAATGTGCTATATGTGCAGGTCCGATGCACTCACTGAGATGGGAATCCCTTGTTTCATGTTTCATACCTTGCTTACTTTCACAATTGTTTTTTGTTTAATTTTGGGGAACAGTTATTTATACTCTTATAATATTAATTGTAAGCAATACTGAATTTAGTTATAGGCATGCATACATACATATTTCAATGCAGATATTACATAACACATTTTAAAATCTAAGGTTAAGTATGGGGTAAAAAAAGAACAAGTGCTACCTTGGGAAAAGCAGCAATTCCTTTGCAAAATGGAAACAGCTCACATATACCAGGTATATTTATATTTCTCATATATATTAAAACTTTAAATATGACAGCTTAAAAATCAAACACTGTGGTTATATAGGGGTACAAAGATATAACATATGAATTTGAAATGACCATACAGCTCAGGAGTCACATACGTCTTTCTCCAAAGACATGCAATTGGCTGCATCATCAACAGCAAACAATTGTTTCTGCAAGTGTTTTTATTTTAAGCAACTATTTGAAAATTACATGGTTCTTTCAGAGAAGTGTGTTATTTATGAATCTCATAAGCATCAAAGGGAAGAGAGTCAGAACTTGCAGAAAAATGGTTTTAATAGATAAAGCAGGTAACATTCAGAGTTGCAAAGTTTTCAGATAGCAAGTTTTTGAAGTTATGTTTTTATTCACTATAAACCATATTCTAAGTAATCAGAGTTACTTATGTAACTGAGGAAGGTGGGAAGTTACCTACACATTTTAGAAATGTTGACTTACGTGTGATCTTTCTTATCGCACAAAACCAGGTGAAATCTACTGACTACTGAACTTAATTGAATGGGTAAGTTTTCTAAATTTTTTCCATGTGAGGTATTTCAGAAGAAGTTTTTCCACCTTTCAATTTCGAAACTACAGCAGTGATTTCTCCCCCCCACCCCAACGCCTGCTTTTTTGGCTTGTTTTTGAACAACTCGACTGCCAAGCCAAAAGCTATCTGCTCTCTGCAAAGAGATACAGCTTCCACATGCTGAAGGAAGCTCTGCATATGTGGACTGAGTTGGCCTTCGTATTGTACAGTTTTCCTTTGCCATTCCCACCAACACCAGCTGAAATTTGACCATGTGGTAAGTGTTGAACTGTATATACCCTGCATAGAAGCATCGTATTTACGAAGTTTAGCTTCCCAAATATTCTACCTAAAGACAGCCTGAGCAAAACTATGGCCTACAAAGACCAGGCCTTTGCATATTAACTAAGGCAGCATTAAAACTTGTAATTACCACAACACGTAGGCATAACAGGACTACTTAATAGATAATCAAAGTTCTGGAATTTCCTAGCTGTTGAGCATTTCCCTTTGCAAAATTCTCATAACTTACTTGTCTGTATATATACACAGACGTGTTCCTTATTAATATCAAGATTTATATGCTAATGTAAATATATGTATTTGTACTGAGAACACAGTCTAAACTAATTGGTAAATTCTCTATTTACTGTTTTAAAAGCAACATGTATTGGAAAGCTTAAACGCCAGTTTATGACTAGGTAATAACGCCTAAGTATTATAATGGATATTCTCACCCCATTTGACAATAAGTCCTTTGATTAATTCAGGAATCTAATACAAGATCAACAACACCAGGCATGTACATTAAATTATTTGATTTGGAGATATTATAAATTACTGTAATAAGCAAATACTGTAACAATCAAATTCATTGTTACAATGCTGTATCTGTGTAACTACCATTTTTCATCTATCCTAAAATCCTTTTCAAGATAAAATCCCCACGGTTAGTCCCTTAGTTTAAAAAAAAAAAAAAAAAAAAAAACAAAAAAAAACCAACCAAAAAAAAAACCCCAAAACCCAAACCAAAAAAAAACCCACCCAAACAAACAAACAAACAAAACCCACACACGCAAAAAAACCCACCAACACTATAAAACCCAATTCATACGGGATCCAGTATGGAAAATAAAGCCTTTTAAAAGATTTAAGTTTCACTTAAAATACACAGAAAATATTACTGAAGTATTTAGAGCACAATATTGAAATTTTAACAGCAAGTATTTTAAAACAAAATAATGTGATACAATTCCAGCAGAATTCTTACGTTAAACTTCTGTAGTAGAGGGGAATTGTAGCAGGAAAAAAAAAGTACTCCTCCCCCCCCCCCCCCCCCCCCCCCCCCCACATTAGACATGACTGAAGTAATCTTCAGGGGTTTTTACAGTAATCATAAAGTATATTGAATCCCCGCCAAGAATTGTTGCATGTTTTGAAGTGGTAAAGGAAAGGGAAGGAAATATTTGTTTGAAATTTTTACTGATATTTAACTTCTCAGACCATCGTATTCCTGTTATCATTGTAGTCTTTAAGTCTATGGAATTTTGGAATTTTTGCAAATATGACTAAAAATATGATTATGGTTAGAAATCTGAGAAGTAGTACATGTTGATTAAATGATAAATCGCTCTAAAGCAAGCCTCCTTTTCTTAAGTAAAGTCCTTCATTTATAACCTAATTTCAGTTGATATAAAAGTAAATATCAGCACATTTTTAGCTATCTGGACATATTAGGATTTTTTTTTTTTTTTGAGATGGATATATCTATATAAAAATAAACGTGTGTATACGTGTGTGCATGTATATGTAGTCTTAAAACACTTATGTATTACAGGTAAAAAGACAGTGAAATTTCCAAATCTTAAAACATTCCCTCTGCCTGCACTCTCCAATGTAAATAGCGCTTACCGTGGCGAGAGACTTCCTCTGGGTGAACCTCCTCTGCCAACAAGGCTGCGGCTATTATCTCCGAGATCTTGATCTGCAGTGTAAATATTTCACAGCTGATAAATCGACTCTTCTTCGATAAGAGTTTTAAAGCTGATGTAGATATTTTTAAAATACCTTAAATCTCAACTTCTATCTGTAGTTACTGCTGAAGAGTGAATACGTAACTACTTTAAGATTGCTGAACTGTAGCATGTAAGGTGTTGTCCCTACACATTTCTGAGGCTGTACCAGGCCATGGATTATGTTCACTTCTTTCATTCCTTTCAGTTTTACAGCACAGAAGCGTGGTTTGCATTTGCAGTGCCCTCCCCTCAGCCACTTTTAATTTCTACGGTGAAAGTAATGAATCACAGCTGTGGACAGCTAATCTGTATGCTTATCACAGCAAATCCTGATGCTCTGTATTTTTTTAACGCTTTGCATCCCAAAACAACTCATAAAATATATAACGTATTAAACTTACCGCTGCCATCTAGCAAGCACACGTTATTCTGCAAATTTACTGAAAACTTTATGAAAGCGTGTAATTCACTAATTCCTATTTATAAGCAGAAGCATAGGAAAGTCCCTTGCTAAAAAGGTAGTAAAACAAACAAAAAAGGCCTCATTAAATATACGAAAACGTTTTGCTTGGAAGGACTCAAAAGGGTTATTTTCCCTATGGCCTCTCAATAAAATAACCCTATCTGCCCCCTTCAAGGTTGCCCTCCCCCTATTCTGAGTCAAGCGACCTCCGACCTCTTGGAGGGCAAAGACATGACTGATCCATTCTTGGTAAACTGCTAAACTCATTCCCTTCCCCCAAACAGGCATGACTACTACGACATGTCAACAAATCCTTACGGGGGGAATGAAACAAAGCAAAGCCAGCGGCTCATTAAAACCGTAGAGGAGAGCCAGCGGTATAAAATGCCAATCGGTAAATATTCACAAGATTATTAAATGCTGCAGAAGTTCTCTAACGGGATCTCTTTCACACGAAGTTTTATGTAATGCAATTTCATGAATTATGCAAATAAAGGTTTAAACTATTCACGACAAAACCCAGAGCTGTGTTATTCTCGTTGCAAAGAGCTCCAAACTGAACACATCAATCACAGAAGTCACAGGAGACATTGTTGCATTCCTG